CAATATAATTTCAAGAAAAACATGACATTATTTCTATTTCTTCCTCCAAATGTTCACACATTTCAGCCCATCCCAATGAGATGTTCAGCCCTAAATTTATAGGAAGTAAAATATTTTACCCATGTTTGTTGCTCTGATTTTCAGCTATCTTGTCAGAGATGTATGGATTGATACTATAAGAAAAAATTAGTGTTTAGGGCAGATTCCATACTACAGGAATTAAGTGCCCTGTGTATTGGGAGCTATCCCACATAACTGACCATAGTTCAAACCCTGGCCCCAGAAACTTGAAAAACTCACTGTGTATGTGAGCATGTGTGCCCAAATCCTGATGGAATAGCAAACTGCAGAAAAATGGATTGTGGAATGACCACACCACACTGGGGGGTTCCTCTCTCCCCCTCCCTCCCTCTGTCCCTAGTGAGTACAAGTACATTCTGGCAATGGAAAAAAAAATATATATATAACTATTGAGCAAACATTCAACTGATTTTGGAGGACTTACGAACCTCAGATAATTTGTTGCAAGTTTAAATTAAGTAGTACAGCAGTGTAAGTGAAGTATCACATTATTGCTTATACAACTTTTTCTTTTTTGGACAATTGCATCATAGATGGATATCTGAAGAATAAAGATTTCCAAGACATAGGAAAGGTCATATAGGAGATCATATAACCCATCCTCTGTGGACTACACATGTTGGCTGTGTTTTCAGAGGGAAAACAGGTTTTGGAGTCAGGCAACTTGTATTCTAATTCCAGATTCGCAAGTTACTACTCAACATCTCCAAACTAAAATTTTGTCAACTAAATATGAAGAGAGTTATATTAACCCTGTAGGATTATTTTATATGAAATGTATTAACTTGTCTTTTTAAATTTCTTAGAATGTAGTAGATAGATGCATTTAAAAATTAGACAATTTTTTTTTCATTTTATCGTTATACCCAACAGATATTTGTTTCTAAACATTCTTTCGTTTTTTTTCTTTGTAGAGGTTTTAGCCTCAGGGTTTGTGCCCTCACCTAGAGAGACACAGACAGAGAGAGAGAGAGGGAAAGTGAGAAATTACCCCCAAAGAGGATGGCCAAACCACAATCCCTTCTTCTCCATTCCCCTTTCAGGGTCTTGGGCATGCACACAACATGTACCCAGGATGAGTTTCAAGTCACTGGTTCTAGGACTTGAACAATGGTCATCTATCTGGGAGTCCAGTGATGTAATGGCTACACCTACTATTGGTCCTGTTCTAAAATCTTTTAACAGAAATATTTATTGTAAGTGAAAGGTGGCATGATGGTTAAGGATGCTGTATTCCCACAGGGTCGATCACAGTTCAAGTGCCAGACCTGGCGGCTTTCTCACTGTCCCTCTCACTCTCTCTCCATTTCCCTCTCTCTGCCTTGCTCTCGCTCTGTCCCCCTCTGATCAAATTAAAAATAAATAAATAAAGCTAAATAAAACAATTCTTTAAAAAAAGAAATATTCCTCTTTGAACACTTGAAAATGGAATACTCCAAATAAAAACCTCTCTTTTTAGGACATTTAAATTACTATAAAGTTCTTTCTAGTATTTTTCATATCTTGATATCATGCTCACTTTGTACCACTCTTAACTATAGACTTAGCAATAATTATTACCAGGCATTTCTCAAGACCCACTGGCTTTCTACACACCTTTTTATTTTCACTCTCTATGAAATGATAATTATCCTGAAGAAAGATGTTGTGTTTCATATTCAATCCCTCTAAAACAAGCCTTTATAGAGTCAGCTGCAAAGCCCTGAAACTTACTAGAGTACACAGGTGTATGCAAACTGCTCTCTATACCCTAACAGAGATAACCTACCAGCTGAGTAATGCTCAAGGAGATTAAGCAATTCAATCAGGGTCATGGATTCTAGTACCCAGGGTCAGCAGCATGAAAGTGGAGTTCTGTCTGACTCCAGTCATCAAACTGACATCTAACACACCCGGAAAAGAAATAACAGACCCAAGAATACATGTAAACAAGGGACTGGATTATGGAATTGTATATATAGCAAAGCAAGAATGTCATTTGATTATTCAACATAAAAATAAAATTTCATCTAATTTAAAAGAGAAAAAAGAAAGGAAATGACGACTGACACACAAACCATGTGCTATAACATATTTCCTTCTGTTTCCTCGCACATATTTTTGGTTTTGATTTTGCATTTGTTTTTCCCACGGAAGTAGTTTTCTCTAGAAGCCTTATTAGTCAGGGTATTTCTTAAATTCTGCAATGACTGTAAATGTTGACACAGTTACAGAAAACTCGTGTGTCTTTGATATTCTTTTACGAGGTAAATTTGCTATTTACAAATTATTTAATTCAGTTATAATTCATTTGGTTCTGACAATATCTGCTTTAATAAATGGAAGACAAAATATTAGAGTATATATTTACAATTTTTTTGGACGAAATCTATCCATTTTTTTCAGAAGGCAAACTTCCTCAAGTTTCTCCAAGCTCTGTATCAACATCCAACTGTGATGAGCTCATGGGAAACATTTATGGCAAATGCTTATCCCTTCATGCACGGAATGGTAAGTTGTTCCTTTGTTGGGGGGGGTTCAGAGATCACAGACTAAAAACACACAAAATAACTAGAGGCACATTTTAGTCACAACTGTTCTACTTTCTAAAATTATTTATTGGCAATATTTTGCAAAATAATTTTAGAAAGTAGAACAGTTGTGACTAAAATCTTATAGCCTAGATATTAAATCTCAAATAATATAGTTCAAATACAATACAAATAACAGGGGTCAGCAGGTAGTTTGGTGGTTAAGGCACTGGACTCACTTGAGCAACCACAGTTCGAGTCTCAGAACTGGGGACTTACTTTCTCAAATTCCAGCTTTGTCTTTCTCTGGTAGCACACATGCCCTGTAGCAAGTTAAGTAAATAATAATAATGATAAACAAAACTAAATAATTTTTCAAAACAATAGCAAAAAATAGTTTCACTTAAAATTAATATGCCAAGTGTTTGCTCATATATCATTTTTTTTAGGAAGATTTTTGCTATAGGGAACATGCACTCACCATAAAGACAGAGAGAGACAAAGAGAAAGTGAGATATCACTCACCAGGTGTATGGACATGCTCCCATCCATTCTCCTCTATTTCCCTCTTGGGATATTGAGTATACATGCACACACATGTGTACAGCATGTGTTTTAGGCAGCAGGGTCAGACTCAAATCACAATCAACTATATGGGAGTCCAGTGACATAACTGCTCCGCCATCTGCTGGTCCTGCTCATATATCATTTTTCTTGGTTCCTCAAACAATTCTTTACGTAAGAAGAGATAGAAGTCATTATCTTCATTCATCAAAAGAATCATAATGAAGGAAGTCTCAGTCTCCTCTTGGGATTTTTAGGCAAGCATGTACATGCGCTCATGTGAGTTCCAAGCCACTATGTCCAAGACTCAAACCATAGTTGACTACATGGGGGTCCAGCAATGTAACCACTATTCCATCTGCTAGTGACTGTTATTTCTTAAATTTAGAGCCATTCAAAGGTAAAGCCAGAGTGAGAATTCCAGTTAGGTAAATAGAATCATCATAATGATAGCTATAATAATGATACTCTGGTGATCAGTCTCATACCAACCTCAACTGTTCTTTCTCCTAATGACCTGCTAGTCTTAACCACTCTTCTCCCTGTCTCTATAATCAGTAATTGTTCTCATTTAAATGAGACAGTTTTATTCAACTAAAAATATAATAGGTATTAAAAACTTCTTTTCCCATAATCTCTTGGAAACATAAGTACAAAGTTGAGTTAGTAGGACGAGTATTCATATCAAGAAAACAAACTTAATCTTTAACTTTTTCTGTCACTTCACAAGAGCACTTGCCCAATGCTTTAATTCTAGCAACTATTTCAAAGTAAATAAAATAAAATATAACATCATGGTATTAAAACATCTTAAGGTTGTTATTTTTATTCTATTATGTTTTAAGCTACAATAGGATTAATACTTAAAAGTCAATGCTAAACCTAAAAGTAGGAAATATATCAAAACAAATAGTTATTTGAAGTGTAAAATCATTTGCTTAACACTATAGAGAACCAAGAGAATTTTGTAAAGGAACTTCAACTAAAGGTGCTAAAAAACAGATGTATAAAATTCCCTTGTCACCAAAAACAAAAATCTAACTAAATAAAACAGATAGTTTGACATTTCAAATAAGTCATAAGGTGAAATTTTTATTTGCTTTTAATTTGTTTTTATTTTTTATGTAGAAGATGGAGCATCACTCCTCCAATGAGATAAAATATTTCAAAACAAAGATAAACTAATTTAACCTAGTGAGTACATGATAGACCCCATGTCATAAATGTGTGCATGCCTATTATACATTCAAATGATTAAGAACAGTTACACATTTTTCCTTAAATAGTTTCCAATATGAAATATATTAAATCAGAAGTCACAGTGAGCATCCCTGATCTTCTCAGCCATAAAAAGAACCCACCCTACCATTCTGTGATAAGGAGTCATGCTCAGTTGGATCCACTTTAAATGCTAGTAACCAAGTTCCAATTTTTCGTGCATGAGTGCAAACAACTACTCAAAAACATCTTCTCTGTTACCTCATAATTTTCTTGTTTTTCTGTCATCTTTTTAATCTCAAAATAAGTACAAAAGGAAAAAAAAAGAAATTAGAAATTGCATGGAAGAATTAGGAAATCTTTTCTTTCTTCTTCATCGCTGGTATATGCGAAAGTTTTTGTTTTAATTATTTATTATCCAAAGCATAGTACAAAATGAGTTAGTAATCTGGACTGTGGTAAATTAGTTACATAGGGAGTGAAACTTTGGTCAACTTTGTTCTGTAGCTCAGGCAAAGACTAAACATGTTATCTACACACTAGATGATGACTATAGATTGATACTTTACAGTCAGTACAAATATAGGTAAATAAGTAATACCTATTTTTGTTCTTTCCTAAGGAATCTGACAAGACCTTCCAGGAAGTAAGTCTTAACATTTAAACCTAAATAAACCATACCTTTTATTTAAAATCAAGACTGTAAAATACATTATCCTATAAATAGAAATTTAAAAAGGAAAAGAATGTAGTCTTTCTTGCCAAGGAGGTAAAATGTAATTTATTTTAGACTATTAATCATTGATGAGATCTCTTCTATCATCAAACATCACTTTCTAACTCCCTTAGAAATGAATATTTTATCTTAACTATGATTGTGAACATGACATCTTCATTGCTTTACTAAAGTACAACAAGCCAATATGCAGGGGGGGTCCCAAGAAAATGTTTGCATACTACTTGTTACCAATTTTTTAAGAGAGATTTTTTTCTAAAGAGCACATTCACTTGCTGAAGAGACAGAGATCTGAGACAGACAGAAAGCAAGAGATCACCCCCGACGAGGGATGGCAATGCCATGATCCTTTCTCCTCCATTCTCCCTTCTGGATTTTAGACACACATGCACACGCTTCTGGAGTATATTTAAGCCTCCAGGTCCAAGACTCAAATCACAATCGACTATGTGGGAGTCCAGCAACGTAACCTTTACACCATCTGCTGGTCCCTCTGGTGATGAATGTTTCAACTTAATAAATTCTTATTAAATGCTATAATTTCTCAGTAGTAATGTTCAGGGACCTAAATGTTCAGTTAATTGCCCCAATACAACTAAACAATGTTAATTCTTCTTTTAAAAGGAATCTGTGGAAGTTCTCACAGAAGTAGATTATTTTCATTTAATTGAAATAAAATTAATAACACCTACTGGTGTATTTTTACAACAATGTTTTTCTTTCTTACCAGAAAACTAAAACTACTGTGGAAGACAAGCACAAGAAACTACTGGTAAGTTTCTCATACGCATTATAATTTCAAGAAGACCATCATATCATTTCATTTCTTCTCTGAAATGTTCACATAATTCAGTCCATTTCAATGGGATGTTAGTCCTAAATGTGTAGGAGGTAAGATATTTTTTCTATGCTTGCTGCTCTGATTTTCAGCTACTATCCAGTCAGACACATAAGGATTGATACTGTAAGAAAAATGGGTGCTTAGGCTGGTTCCATTGCATGGGAGTTAAGTGCCCCCTGTGTATTGGTAGCTAGATCCCACTTAACCAATCGTAGTTCAAATCCTGGCCCTGACAGCTTGAAAACACACCGGGTGTGTACACACATATGCCCCAAATCCTGAAGGAACAGAAAACTCCATAAAATAAGATAAAATAAGATTGTGGAATGACCACAACACATTGAGGGTTGTCTCTCTCTCTCTCTCTCTCTCTCTCTCTGTGCCTGTGTGTGTGTGTGTGTGTGTGTTGTGAATACAAGTGCGAATACAAGTACATTCTGGCAATGAGGAAAAGAAGGAAGAAAAAAATAAAATAACTATTGAACGAACATCTAATAGATATTGGAGGACTTACAAACCTCAGAACATTTATTGCAAGTTTAAACCAAGTAGTACAGCAGTGTAATTGAAGTATCATATTATTGTTCATTCAATTGTTTTTGGTAATTAGATCATAGATGGATAAAGATTTCCAAACCACAGGAGGTCATATAATCCATCCTCTGTGGACTACAGATGATGGCTGTGTACTCAGAGGGAAAGCACAGGTTTAGAGTCAGGCAACTTGTATTCCAATTACAGATTCACAAGTTATTACTCAGCTTCTCCAAACTAAAATTTCGTCAACTAAATATGAAAAGAGTTATATTGACCCTGTAGGATTATATGATATATATGTAATTATATTTTAAAATGTCTTGGAAAGCAGTAGATAGATGAATTTAAAAATTAGACAATTTTTTAAAAAATCTTATTCCTATGCCCAACAGACACTGTTCTAAAACCTTTGCTTTTGTAGAAGTTTTTGCCTTAGGGCATGTGCACTCACGAGAGACAGACAGAGATAGAGACAGTGAAAGAGAAAATAAGAAATCACCCCCAACGTGGATCGCCTTGCCACAATCCCTTTTCCTCCATTCTCTTCCTGAGAACTTGGGCATGCACATAACATGTGCCAGATGTGAGTTTCAAGCCACTAGGTCTGGTACTTGAACCACTGTCAACTATGTGGAAGTCCAACAACATAATCACAGTATCATCTGCTGGTTCCCATTCTAAAACCTTTTTAACAGAAACATTCCTCTTTGAGCACTTGAAAATGGAATGCTCCAAATAAATCCTCTCTTTTTAGAAAAATTTAAATTGCTATGAAGATCTTTCTAGTATTTTTTCAAAATACTTTTGATATCATTCTCACTTTGTACCATTCTTAACTATAGACTTACCAATTATTCCCAGGCATTTCTAAAGACCACTAGCTTTTACACACCTTTTTATTTTCACTCTCTATGAAATAAATAACTTTTCTGAAGAAAGATGCTATTATGATTTTGTATTTAATCGCTCTAAGACAAGCCTTTATAGAGTCAGCTGCAAAGCACTGGAACTTACTAGAGTACACAGGTGTATGCAAACTGCTCTCTATACCCTAACAGAGATAACCTACCAGCTGAGTAATGCTCAAGGAGATTAAGCAATTCAATCAGGGTCATGGATTCTAGTACCCAGGGTCAGCAGCATGAAAGTGGAGTTCTGTCTGACTCCAATCATCAAATTGACACACGTGGAAAAGAAATAACAGACTCAAGAATACATGTAAACAGGGCACTGGGTTATAGAATTGTATATATAGCAAAGCAAGAATGTCATTTGATCATTCAACATAAAAATAACATTTCATTTAATTTAGAAGAGGAAAAAGAAAGGAAATGACGACTGAGACACAAACCATGTTTCCTTCTTTCCTTTCCGTATTTTTGTTTTTGCTTTTCTTTCGTTTTTCCCACATAAGTAGTTTTCTCTGGAAGCCTTATTAGGTTATTTCTTAAATTTGCAATGATTGTAAATGTTGAAACAGTTACAGTAAATTGTGTGTCTATGATATTCTTTTACGAGGTAAATTTGCCACCATTTACAAATTATCTAATTAAGTTCTAATTTATTTGGTTCTGATGGTGTCTGCTTTAACCCATGGAGGACATAAAATATTAGAGTATATATTTATAATTTTCTTTTTCTCTAGAATGAAATCTACACAGTTTTTCAGAAGGCAAACATCAAGCTTCTGCAGGCTCTTTATCAACAACTAGCTGTCATGAACTCATGGGAACTGATTAAGGCAAATGCTTACCCCATCATTCCCATAATGGTAAGTTGTTACTTTGTAGGGGGCAGAGATCACAGGATAAAAACACCTAAAATAACTAGAGGCAAAATACTGCCAAAAAATAATTTTAGAAAGTAAAATAGTTAAGAATAAAATTTCATGGTCTGAAAAATCAAATCTCAAACAATATAGTCCAAATACAATAACAAATAACAGCGGCCTGCAGTTGGCGTGGTGATTAAGGCACTGGACTCTCATATGGCTGACTGCATTTCAAGTCCCAGAACTGGGGACTTGCTTCCTCATGTTCCATTTCTCTTTCTCTCTGGTAAGTGCACATGCTCTGCATCAAATGAAGGAAATAATAATAATGATAAACAAAATTAAATAATTATATTAAAAATAATAATAGAAAATAATTTGATCTAAAATTAATACACCCTAAGTATATGCTCATATACATTTTTTTAAAAAGAGAGATTTTTTTTTTTCTATAGGGTGTGTGCACGTGCTGGAAGATAGACAGTAAGTGAGAAATCGACCCCCTGGGGAAATGGTCACACCTTAATCACTTCTCTCTTCTCGTGACCTTGGGCTCAGATGCACACGGGACTGATGTGAGTGTCAAACCACCAGACTCTGGACTGGAACCACATCGACTATGTGGGAGTCCAGCGATGTAACCATTACACCATCTGCTGGTCCTACTCATATATCATTTTACTTGGTTCGAAATAATTCTTTATGTAAGAAGAGGTAGAAATTACTATCTTCATTTATCAAAAGAATAATAGGGACCAGCAGTTAGGGTAATGGCCAAGTTGCTGAACTCCCAAGTAGCCGACCGCGGTTTGAGTCTGGGACCTGGTGACTTAAACTCATGCCATGTGTGTGTGCGTGCGTGCCCAAGATCCCGAGAAGAGAAAGGAGAAGGGATTGAGGCGTGGCCGTTCCTCCTGGGGAGTGATTTCTCGCTTTCTATCTCTCTGTTTCTTTCTGGTGAGCGCACACGCCCTATAGCAAAAACCTCTCAAAAAAAAAAAATCATAATGAAAGGAAATAAAAGGTTTCTTCAAAAAGTTTATGGAAAGTGCATCCTGTGAAAAGAAACTATATGGACTTCAAAATTTTATTCACCAGGATCGGCAGCTGGCGTAATGGCTATGTCACTGGACTCCCATTTAGTAGACTGCAGTTCGAGTCCAGATCCAGTAACTTAAACTTACACAGGGTGTGTGTGTTTGTGTGCCCAAGATCCCGAGAGGAGAATGGAGGAGAAGGGTGATTTCTCACTTTCTGTCTCTCTCTGTCTTTCTGGCAAGTGCACATGCCCTATAGCAAAAACTTCTCCAAAATTTTATATACCAAAATAAACACATATTTTAAATCTATTTTTCCATGAGCTTTTGAAGTATCCTCCTACATAAAATTTTTAAAGTATTTTTATCATGAATTTTGATAGCATAAATGAATATGTGCAACACAAATTAAATTGTAAAGCATAATATTATAATAAATATTCATGGTTTTTATGTTTTTATAATGGCTTTATTATATACATATGCCATCCTAAACCCCGTATGTTCATTTATGCTGAATATTTGTTTTAGACAATAATATAAACTTTAATATAATGAATACATATATCTCTTAATTAACTAATGAATTATTTTTACCACAGTTAAATTCTCGTAGTAAATTTTAGAGTACAAATATGGCAAAATCAACTAATACCAAAGAACCATAAGATCCTTATTTCCTGTTGAAAATCTCCTTTGTGTAGCCTATATCAGCACTTATATTAGACTTCATATCTGTTATAAAAGAAACACAGTGCATTTCAAAGTAGTTTCTCTCATTCTCTCTCTACATTGATTTGCTTGCTCTGAGCTTCATAGTATCATATTTATGGAGTCCTTTTGGTCTTGTTCACTCTACTATTACTCATCTATCTACATTGCTGTTCACAGGTATATCTCATCCATTTTTACTGCTGATGAGATTCTGCAATTCTAGAATTTTGCTACAGAGCATGTGCATTCACCAGAGAGAAACAGAGAGACAGAAAGCGAGACATCACCCCCCAGTTTGGATAGCCACACTGAAATCTCTTTTCTTCCATTCTCCTCTTGAGTTTTTGCGTACTCATGCAAGCCACTGTGTCCGGGACTTGAACTACAGCTGACTACCTGGAAGTCCAGCAACCTAACCATTACACCATCTATCATTGCTCCCTGTCTCCAAATTATTAAAATAACTATCCTTATCTCTCTACTGTGGTAATATAGACAATTGCTGGTAGGTTATCCATGTGAAGCTGATTTTTATTTTTTTTTTCCCTTAAGGAAACAACTGATACATTTACTGAGGTAAGTAATTTATGTCAAACAAAATTAGTTAAATATCATTCTATAACATTTTGTTTGTACTTTATAACTGTTTTTTTGTTGTTGTTGTTGTTATTAACAGAAAACTGAGCTGACTGAAGAAGAAAAGAATAACCTGGTAAATATATGGCAAATTTTCCATACAAGTATTTTTAACATGTCTTACTTTACTTAGACTCTGCCTAACTATACTCCTCTTCATAAAAAGACATACAACACACCAAAACCCCCTACTTTTAGAAAATGCTAAGTTTTATAAAAAGTCTTCCTTATACTTTGTCAAAACTTACAGAACCATTCCTCTGCAATACCAATTGCATTATAACCCACTATCCACCCAACAATTTTCCCTAGTGATACTGAAATTCCTTTGATTTTCTACTCTGTAGACATGGGAAATTATCCTGAGGAAGAAGTCACCATATTTAATTCCAACTTTAAGCCTACAATAATCTAAGGCTAGATTTGTATAGTTGTTTCTACTTAACTTAGAGAACGGAGATGTTCATTAAACATAAAATATGTGACTGGTGCTGTGAAAACTGCACTCTATTAATTAATCCCCACACGTAAGACTCGAAGAGATTAATACTGGCTCAGTGGCACAGATTCTACTAAATAAAATTATGCATTCTATGTGACTCTAAGGACCAGAATTTTCTTACCAGATGTGGAAAAGAAACCACAACCTAAGGCACTTATCTTTAATTAAGAAATTATCCTCTTGCCTTTTCATGTGCACCTGCACTTTTGCATTTTCTTTATTCGTTCTTTTTTCTTTTTCTATTTATTTTCTTTTGGTTATTTTTCACTTAAACATTTTGGTTTTGGAATCTGAATTAAACAAAAGGTTTTACTCAGGTCAATAGTTCATTCTCTGTATGTAAACTGAGTTAATTTTGCCTGAGTAGAATTTCCTTTAATGAGGTACATTTAGTATCATTTAGAATTTATCTAAACAGAGTTTTAAAAATATATTTTATTATTTTTCATACATTAATCACTGTATATTATTACAGCATGCAAAATAAATTTTCCCAGCATGAATACACTGTGTATTATTCCAGTTAAAGATATCATACATGCTATCATCAACAGATAATTTTATTTCGTTATGTCTAGGCTAATTATTTATATATTTTTTTCTAGAACAAAATCAATCAATATTATCAGATTATGTGGCCTCAAAACATAGAAGCTATTCAACATTATCAGAAAACTGTGAACCCATATGTTAAGACATATGCTTACCCAAAGATTCCTCTGCAGGTGAGTACTTCCCTTTTACTTTTAATTTTAAAAAGTTCTCTTTTGTGGTAAAATTAAGCGAGGGTATAAGTAATAGAAAAATTGAATTTTAACAAATTCTCAAGTAGAAGCTGAAACAAAATTAATTAAAATTTCTACTCTAGAAATCAAATTTTAAATTATATATTACCAATACACCTACAGAAAATTTAAATGATGATATATTTTATTTATATTTCATTTAAATTTCAGTGTTTGATTATAATATTTCAGTTATTTTCTATAGCAATTATTTTTTTCTTTTTCTTTTTTGTTTTAATTTGCCAACGGGAGCCAGAGAGAGAGAAGGAAAGCAGAAAAACACTCCCCATAGGGCATGGACATGACCCAGTCTCTTTATTTCTCTTTTCTTTGGGGACTTTAGGCCCACACACCTGTATCTTGTGTGTTTATTTTCAAGCTGCCAAGTCTGGAACTCTAATTATGTGGTCAGCCATGTGGGAATCCAGTTACCTTCACCACCAGACTGGCTGGCCCTCCTATAGGAAGTCTTACAGATTGATCAAGACAGACATTATTTACATTTTACAAAAGAATCTGAAATTCTAATAAAAAGTAGCTGAACTAAGCTCTAGTTAATATATTTTAAATCTCATTTATGGCTTTTTTGACTTAGGAAACATTTTTTTCTAACATGATGAATAAATGGAAAATGGATTAAATGCACACCACTTACAATTTAATCCCATATTATACGTAATATGGGATCTGGATTCAGAAGACCTGATATAAGTTTTTGATCTTAAGCAAGTCACATAATTTCTCTGGATATTGTAAAATATGATTCAGTGTTTATATGTGCATATAATATTTAAAAATCTCTTGCCTATTATTAGAAAAAAATAAAAAATTTAGTATCGATACTTTGAATATGAGATTTCTAAATAATGTCCTAAATATTTCTGGAGATGTAAACATTTTGTTTATTACTCTATGTACATTTTAGTAAAATGTGTCATTTTTTTCTTCTTTTAAAGAAGTACTATTATGATTACTGAATTAACTGCTTCTACTTTATTTCGGTAAGTGCCTCTAGGCCTACAGGTTAACCAAAAAATTAAAATGGGATGTGTATGTGTAGAATGTAATCTTAAGTAATACTGATAAGTAATATGTTCTCAGCTAATGAAATAATATATTAGCTACAAAATATTTTAAATTTAGGTTTTTTTTGACTCACAAACTATCTGTGAATTTGTATGCATGTATGTTTTATAACTATTTTTTAAATAAATTATAAATTTCCTCTGTAGCTAATAATACTTTCAGCCAAAAGTAAGGATTCTGGATAGAAATTATAACAGTTATAATGCTCACACAGATGTTTGCTCATACAGATGTTTTCTTTATCACTTTGAGCTCAACCAAGTTTAGACTCAGCATTTCACTTTGAGAAAAGACATATAAAAATTACCTATATCTATATCAATACCTGCCCCTACCTATCTATTAATCATTTATTTATAAAGACAATTTACATACAATTCAAACCATTTTTCTTTTCTTTTTTTAGAGGTTTTTGCCTTAGAGTGTGTGAGCTCATCAGAGAGAGACACAAACAGAAACACTGAGAGGAAAAGTGAGAAATCACCCCCTCCCTACACAGAGGGAATAGCCATACAGCAATCCCTTTTTATCCTTTCTCCTCCTGGGATCTTGGGCACACATGTACACTCACCCAGCATGAGTTTCAAGTCAATGGTCCAGGACTCAAACAACTGTCGGCTACATGGGAGTCCATTGACATAACCACTACGTCATCTCCTGTCTCCAATTCAAGCTATTTTAAAATAAATTCCCTGCATCATTTTCTCTGAGAAAAATCACAGCATTTAAAAAGATACATAAATCCTACTTTTCTTCTTTTCTCATTTTTTTCTTTGACATTTTAATTGATATATTCACAGCCATAAAGGTAACTCAAGGAAAGTGTGATGACATAAATGTTGTCTTTTGTTAAGCCATTTTTCTTTTTTTTTATATTGGCCTTGTGTTCAGGTTATCCGATCCTGGAATTCTGTCTCATTTAAATCTATCTTTGCTGTTTTTTCTATATTCTTGATGATACATTTGAACACAACAAAGTAGATTTATAAAAATGAATATTAAAGTAATAACAATAATTTACTGAGAGTTTACTAAGTAACAGCCACAAGTCTAAGTCCTTTACTAATTGAATGCTCACAAAAAAAAAAAAAATACCGATGCAGTAGTTTATATTATCAGCTGATTTAAGATAAGAAATCTGAGGCCCTAAGGAGGTTAAATAAATTGCCTAGTAAATTAGAAATTGAAAAGTTAAAAATCTAGTACATATTTCTGCCCTCCAAGCTTAAAAGTCCACTTGTGATGACAAGTCTCCCCTAAAGGAGAGCTTGGGGATTTTTTTGAAAGGATATTTTTAACTTTGAGTACATTGTTAGAAATTCAATTTACTTTATCATATCATTTTGACTTCCTAATTAATAAAAAAGGGCAAGAAATTTCATAAAATAACTTCATAATGAGAAAAGTAATGACATAACTATTATGAATAAGAGCTGAAAATATAGTTGTATTTTATAAAAAGTGATTTTTTTCCTTTGCAGTAATTATTCATATATTTATTTTCCAGTTTTTAAAGCTTATTATGTATTCCTATAAAGTGTGCAACTTGAGAAATACAAAATTAAGATACCAAACTAATCCTCATTAAGCTCTGTTTCAGACTAAGATACAGAAATGGCAACATAATGTGCTAAAAGCTAACTTAGAGGTAGAAGAAGGATATGATAGTACAATAAGGTTGAGAGATGCAGCAGAGTAAAAAATATAAGGCAAAAGGTATTTAATGGAATGTAAAAGAAAGAAAGAAAGAAAGAAAGAAAGAAAGAAAGAAAGAAAGAAAGAAAGAAAGAAAGGAAGGAAGGAAGGAAGAAGGAAAGAAAGAAAGAAGAGCTGAAAAAAGAACAGGAATAGAGAAATCAAAAAATGTACAATGGATTTTGAAATCTAAAAATGATTTTTTATAATATCAGTCTGAAGTTATTTTGGATAATAAGATGATTTTAATAAATTCCAGATTCCAATTAGATCAAAAGGTTTAAAATATAGGAAGCAATAATATTGTGTGTGCCTAAGAAGCTATCTGGAAAACAAGAATAATAAAAATTTTCCTTCGAAACTGACTACAAAGCATAAGTACATATAACTGAATAAAAAGAAATGATATTTTTGCATGCTAAATTGAAGAAGCTAGTATTTAGCTTCTATAAAGCTCATTCGGTCATTAATTTGTTCACATTTATCCTACCAGAAAAACAAAATTCCTTTCTACTTCATAGATGTCATTGAGTCCATAGACTTCAACAAGTCCACAGAGCATAAATATAAATTGTTACTAAAATCCTATTATATGCCATGTATCATCATGGACATAAGAAAATATTAACTAATAATAGTTATAAAAAACTTTATGCCATTGTAGCATGACTCTGTGTGTGTGTTTTCTGTATTTTAAAAAATTATCTTCTGAAATATAAATTCAGTGTTGTCTTTTACTTTTTCTAGGCTTGACTGGAAAAATTCATCTATTACACTTTTCTTTTCTATCATACTACTTCATTCTCCCAGTAAGATTGGACAGCACTACTGAAAAGATGGAAATACTGAGCCAAAGGAAGACTGCAAACTATCTCCTGTATTGCTTAAACTCTTCTTGCTAGTTCATGCTGGATATGCCGGGCTGTGCTGTGACTTCATGTGGACTGGGTTGATGGTTATTTAAAATGTTTTCACCACTTTTTCTGAATTTTGGAAACACATTTCTCTTCTTCAAAAAATAAAATTTCAAGTGCATCATTTTGTGTGTAATCATCATTTTCACTTTTCACATTGACCGTGAGGCTACTGATGCTACTATTTTATATTAGTCCTCTAACAATTTTGTTAGTCCTCTAACAAGTGATTTTCAATTTATCATGGCTCCCACTGAAATAACTTTGTACACTTTCCAGGCACTTCTACTTTTTGTCTCATTACCTTTAACATCACAAATAATATTCTCCCAACTACTGCTGGATTTACAGTACTATTCTAGCCATCATTCTACCATCTTTAATTTATTCATGCTTATGATTTGTTGCAAGCATTTACCTCAAATCATCGCCAGAGCTTTCATTCCTCCTCTCTGAGCCCAAATTTTCATGTAAATTAGGGAGTCAGACACTGAGATTGCCAGTCTCCTTCAATCACCCCATTCATGGTATCCACAAATAAAGAAAGCAAAACAAACAAACGAGTGCATTATGGGTTACAAGGGAAAACTCTAAGGGGCTAAGCATGTCTGGAGAATGTGGAGGGATGGGAAAAGTAGATCAGGGAGAAATGGATAGGAATGAAGGTGATTTGAGCTAAGAATTTTGTGTTAAGCATTTGGTTGTGATGGGGAGACAACAAAGGGATTTTTGTAGGCAAGCAACATTATATATGTGTTTTTGATAGATAAAAAGAAGGTTTAGACATTTTATTTTTGACTCCATAAAATAATGCAGTCCTTTAGCATTCCCATTCCATTCCATTCTATCCTATCCCTCTTAGCCTCTCTTCTGTGCTTATTCAGCCAAAACATTGAAGGGTTTTTAAAAGGGAGATGACACATGACATATATTTAGAAAAGGGGCAACAGGTAGAAACTAAGAGAATTTTTCTTTGTCTTCATAGAACCCCCCTTCCTTAACAATCTTACTACATTCCGTTCCCCCTATTCTCTACTGGCCCACCTTCTTTCTTACACATGAAGCCCAGACTTCATCCCTGATTACTTTAAATATTACTTTGATAAAACTTAAATCTTCTCTAACCCTCATACCAACCAACCCTACCTGGAAAAGACCCGACTATGAAAAACTATGAATTTGATTTCTACTGTGATTCTACCCAAACAGCTAAATCTTAAAGTAAGTTTATGTTTTCTAAACTTCGTTGGTCACCAAAGCTGTCTTATCAAATATTTTCTACTTTACAGACAATATTGATTCTATAGAGTATAGACATTATCCATCTCCTAACTTGACAAATAAATACCTCAGTCTATATCTAAACATAACTTTAACACTCTCCTTCAAATCTCAAAGGGTATGTGACCTTTCTCTAGTTCAAAGCTTGTTGCAGAAAACCAGAGGGCCCAGGAACAAAAGGTGGCACTCTGGAGAGATAGGAGTAACTCTTTAATACACCAATGGGCATGGAGGAGTTAACACTCAGAATCTCCACCCTGCTTGGAGGTCAAACACAGTTTTTTATTGGGAAGTTGGGAGGGGCGGCTCTCAGCAGGCTTAGAGTATCCTATCAGGAAGCAGCAGCCCATCAGGAAGATGTAGCCCAGGGGTTGTTCTCAGGAAGAAAGGGTTAGATACGCAGGGTGTCCAACTTCTCAAGATCTCTGATTGTTTTATATCACTCCGGGGGTGGGAGGGTGGAGGGTACAGGCAGTGAATTCTCAGAGCCCTGTGAAATGTTGGCAGTTGCTGGCCTTGGGCTATTGTGAGTTCTGGGGCCTATCCACATCAAGCTTAAAGTTCTTTTGATATTTTTAAAATTTTTCTTCTACAATCTATTCTTTTTTAATGATGTTCATTTGGCAAATTTAATATGATAATTATAATTCCTAAAATTAAGTGAAGAGCTACATGGAGAGTAATATGTATATTTGTCTTAACTTTACTACTGATAAAATTAGTATTCTATTATTAATACAATTACTAATATACCTTGTGGATGAGGAAACTGAAACAAAAATAAAGTTTCCTCCAGTGGTACTATTCTATTTCATGTTATAGATAAAGATTTACTTCCTGGTAATTCTTATAATTCTCTTTGACTGTTTCTTCAAGATATTTTTCACAGACTACACTCATTTTTTTCTCTTACACAAACATGGATGTTTTCTAGGCTCTGATTTTAGCTACTTCTTTTCTTTTTACTTACTTAGCTTTTTTAATTTAAATTTATTTATTTACATTCATTTACTATATATCACTATAGCATACAAAATGAGATTTTCCATCCAGAATACACTGTATATTGGCTCATATTAGAGATGAAGGCTATAATAAAGGAAGTGAAAATCTCCCTACCTACTTCTTTTCTAACTCTACATGTTTTTAACATGATCTTAACCACTTTCATCATTTTAATTGTTACATATAATCAACTGCTTCTAAAATCAGCTCTTAATTCTCCAGGTTCATCTCTAAATTGATTTTTCTCCTCCCTATTCAGACAGACATGCCAAACTTTCTCCTGAATCTCTATATTTGTTGGTTTCCCAAATTAAAATGTACCAGGAGAAAGGATATCATTTCACTTGAATCCACAGTTCAAAACATTACCTAAATTCCTAATATTTCTCAGCTTATTTAATATATTTCAGACTTTACACTTTGTTATAGTAAATTAAACTTGAACCTAACCTTTTGTATAGTATTTTTTTTTTTCCATCAGTAAATAAGGATCAAGGATTTGTCAAAGGCTCTTCAGATTCAAATTTATCCCTTTGGTATAGATGAATGACAATAGATTTTTTCTATAATTAAGAAGATTTAGAAAATATTAAAACATAAACCACATTATAAAAATCTTGCCAAAGGTTGGATACCTAGAGCAACATTTTTAGTGATATGTCTTGTGTAATATTTCTTTTGTAAGTTAAACCCCTTGACATTTCAGAGTGTAGTAGCCAGTCACAGAAGAAGAGAGATACTCTATATCCATACTGCAAAGTAGCAAGACCCTATAACTAAAACTATGAATTTATTTAAAAAGAAATCTAAAAGGACACAAAAAAAAGTGGAAGGACATTCCATGTTCCTGGATTGGAAGAATTAATATAATCAAAATGGCAATTCTACACAAATTAATTACTTATTTAATGCAATCCCAATCAAATTACTGGAGACATGCTTCATAGATCTAGAAAGGATAATTATAGAACTTGTCTGGAATTAAAAAAAGACCCCATAATGCCAAAGAAACCACGCTCAAGAGGAATGGAGTAGGCAACATCTCACTCCCTGACCCCAAAATATATTAGAAAGCTGTGATACTCAAAATAGCATGGTATTGGCACAAAAAGAGACATGTGGGCCAAAGGAACAGAATAGAGGCTCTAGAAATAAACCCCAAAACATACAGCCAACTGATTTTTGACAAAGGGTACCTTTCAATCTAGTGGAAAAAGGAAAAGCTCTTTAGCAAATGGTGGGAAAACTGGGTATTCACCGGCAGAAAGATTAAACAGGACCCCCATCTCTCACCATTAACAAAAATCAATTCAAAATGAATCAAAGAGTTAAACCTAAGATATCAAACTATAAAACTACTGGTGGAAGACACTGGAGAAACTCTGGGAGACATTGGGGTAGACTAAGACTTCTTATATAAGACCTCCAAAGCACAGGAAATAATCCTAAAGATAGACAAGTGGAATTACATCAGATTAAGAAGCTTCTGCAAAGCAAAAGACATTATCACTAGTGTGAATCTTCAATGCTTGGAATGGGAGAATTTTTTTTTAACTATGGCTCAGATAAGGGACTGATAAGCAGAATATGCATGGAACTCAGGTGACTTACCTGGGGGATGGAACGCAGGTGACTTTCCTGGGGGGGGGGGGAGAAGATTAACCCAATTAAAAGAGGGAAAATGAGCTGAACAAAAAACTATTTAAGTAAGACATGCACACAGCCAAAAAGCATATGAAAAAATGCTCAACATCCCTGTTTTATGATTCTCTGAAATGAGGCAAGTAATCCATAGCAATGTAGTCACATTGATAGATTTTTAAACTCTTTTTCAGAATTGATCCTGGTTTATTTCAAAACAAAAGTATAAACATTAATGTGAAGACTCTGTATAAATACTTCTGGGAGAAACAGTGAGGCACATTGTCCAAATCAAGACCAGGATCTGCAAGCATCGGTTTCCACCCTGGAAGCAAGGTATCCTTTTCATTTCTTCACATTAAGGTGCTCCCATTTCTTTAAGATTTTCTAGTTGATCTCAGGTAGATAGACATATAGGGTGTCTATGGAGGCATGGCACATGTATGTTCTCTCCTGGTTTGAAGAGGTTGGTAACACAGACTGTTGTGTCAGTCTCCTGCACCACACACCTGAATTTCACTCAATACTACTTGGGAGGAGATGTTAAAGGAATAATTTTCTCTAGGTTCAGCCTAGACTTAAGAGTTCACATATACCCTAAAAAAATCAGGTTTGTTTCACTCAGGAAGTCTCATATTTTGAGAACTTAACAAAAGAATCAAATAAATCCGCCTCATTTAACTAGTCATTTTAAGGAAGGGAAAAAATGAGAAAAAGGAGGGAAAATTATATTATTTGGATATTATTTGGATGTAAGTATTTTGCTCCTAGAGTAATCAAAGTACTAAATCACAAGTGATACATGGGTAGATAAATTGAGAGACTGAGATTCTAGAGCAAAGATTTTTGTATGTTGACAAATCTGAGTTTTTCACTCCTAAAGTGACTTTTTTTAAAGAACTCTAAAATTATAGTTCTATCAGTCTTGATTAGCTGTTAATTTTCCTGATAGGATTAAATGCCTTATTTTTATGGTCTTCATAAAAAAAAACATTTATCTTTACTGGAATTAATTTATTAGAGCCACATTGAACAGTTGTTGTATTAAGACAAAATTCAAAATTTAGGGGACCAGCAGTTAGTATAATGGATATGTCGCTGGACTCGACCACGGTTCACATCCCAAACCCAGTGGCTTAAACTCACACCGGGCACGTGTGTGTGCATGCCCAAGATCCTGAGAGGAGAATGGAGAAGAAGGGATTGTGGCGTGGCCATCCCCCCAGGGGGTGATTTCTCGCTTTCTGTCTCTATGTCTCTCTCTGTCTGTCTGGCGAGCACACACGCCCTATAGCAAAAGAAACCTCTTCAAAAAAAAAAATTCAAAATTTAGTAAACATATGCTTACTGGATTGCCTGTAAGAACAATTTTAAATGGCATGGATTAAATTACTAACATATTATTTATTTTAAATGCACATAAAAATGTGAATGTGCATATGTACATTTTCTCGAGTAGTTCCTTTTACTTATATTTACTAATAATTTTGGGCCATTGTATGTAATCATATTGATAGATTTCCAAAAGAATAGCAGGGTAAGGGAGGAATTCTAATTTATTTAGACAATTTCCATTTCATATGTCTATAAAAATCAGGCTTCAGCCAATTAAATGCTCTTGTTTCAGAAACCCAGATAGGAATTAAAGCAATGATTTCAAAAAGATTAACATATAAGTTTATATGGTTAATCTTTAGGTCACAAAAACCTGCAATGAACTTTATATTAATTTTAAGAATAATTACACTGTACTGAGGAATAAGACATTATATTTAGGTATAATTTATTATTTTTTGTTTCTACTAATTAATTTTTACCCTTTAAGAGAAATGCTAACATATTTCATAGGGAAATTTTTGGCACTATAATAAATTTTAAGAAGATTCATTTAATTGATTAATTTGTTCCTTTTTCTGTTTGCTTATAATATGACATTATAAAAGGGTTTGAGGTAGCTGTCCAAAATATGTAAAATAGGATTTTTTTTTTAATTTAAATATTTTACCGAGGGGAAAAATAAGATGCAATAAGATAAAGCTAGTAAATAAACATCTTTAAAAGAAGGGCTATGATACTTGGTAGGGTCTTAAATATGGACAAGAAACTGGACTTTAACATTTCTGGTAGGTAAAGAACCAAAAAAAAAAAAATGCGAAAGGAAGAAACATACAATATCAGTGTCCCCAAGACATTTAAATACACCAACAGCTTAGGAAAAGCCTAAATACTGAGACCTGTCAGGAATTTCTCTAGTGCTACTCACACAGAAAGACTGAAGTACAAATCTTTGTCCCATATATCTTTACAATGAAAAAAAAAGGTACATCTGTTAGTCTGTTTTTTCAATTGTTTCTCAATAAAAACGTGGTATGCAGGGACTAGCAGGTGGTATGGTGGTTAAGGCGCTGAACTTCCACATGGCAGACCACAGTTCGATATCTGAACCTGGTGGCTTGAAAAATCATGCCAGGCACATGTGTGTACATGCCCAAAATCTTGAGAGGAGAATGGAGGAGAAGGGATTGTGACATGGCTATCTCCCATGGAGGTTAAGTTTTCACTTTCCCTCTCACCGTCTCTGTCTCCAGCAAGCACACACACCCTATGACAAAAATCTTAACAAAACAAAACAACAACAAAAAATACGTGGTGTTCTTGAAAAGAACACTATAGCAAAGGCCATTCATTCAATATGTGTTCAAAACCATGTTGAACAGGTAAGCATCTTAGCCAAATATTTTAAAAATATATTTTGCAAATGAATGCAGTGTATTGCTTCCAGATATTTCTCCATAAATACAATTTTCCCAGCCTAGATTCTGTTAAGGTTTGTGCATGAAAACATTTATGGCCTCATGAAAAAGCTTGAAACATCATCATATTATTAGTTTGTACTTAGCATACACATAACACATTTTCACTTCACAAAAAAAATAGAGATTACAGAAAATAAAGGGAAATAATTATTAAAACAATTATATATAAATAATTATATATATAATTAAAAGCAAACAGTGGTCACTTAATTAAAAATAGCCCATTTAATACCTCAGTGATATACAACTTTAAATCATTCATTTAGCAATAGATCATGAAGCTGATATTCTTCTTAACAAAACACTTGTGTTTTTTTTTTCATATTTTGAGAGTCTAAATAATGCTACAATAAGTGTTCCTGTATATACATTTTTTTGGAAGCATGGAGATGCTTTATGTTTTTTAAGATGGAAGAAAATGTAAATTTTAATAATTAACCAACTAGCAATTGGTTTTGCAATCCCTGAAGAAAACTAAGCCTAATCACCTTTTAATATTTGACTTCCCCACTATTCTGCAGAGAGAAAAACTGATGATTGATCAAGGACCTAAAGGTTTATGCCACGGGGTATGATGGCAAAATGTTTAGGACTAGAACTATTTCCAAGTAGGTGATACCAATCCCTTACTGAATTCATAAGAAAATAAAAAACTCAATGGCTACTTTTAAGTACCTTCCAAAACAAATTTATTGCAAAATGTGTCTGTAGGTAATTAAATGAATGACTTCCACCTAAAGATGGTTTAGTAAGAAGTCAACTAATTGTGGAAGGTTATCTGCCAAAAATAATAATAATAATAATTTGAGCTTTAGTGTCATTCCTCTTAAGTCATACTGACAATGGTTTAATAGCATGGCCAAACTTCCTGTTGGGGTCTTCTTATTTGGTCTAATAAAGCCCTGCATTCTTTTCTCCAGTAGAAGAGATATAACTAAGAAGTATATTGTATACTTTCTGACACACCCAACTTAAAATATTAATTTCACAGAGTCAATCAAAATGAAACTGCTTTTGTGGGCCTGCATCATGTGTGCTGCTTTTGCAAGGAGGGTAAGTGGACTTTTAAAATTGTTGTAATAATATCACAATCAAATAATTGTGGGCAGGTATTGGTGCTAGTGATAAAGTTATTACAACATTTATAATTTATAATAATGCCACAAAGAGATGTGCTGATGGGCATATTGTTCTTTTCAAATGAAATTTTAAATATCAAAATAGCTAAGTTGCAATATATGAAAACTGATTTAAAAAAAGAGGGATGAGTTCAGAAATGTGGGAGCTAGAGGTGGAAAAAAATATAGGGAATCAGAATCTGATGTAGATCATCTTAACAGAGTTTATTCAAATTTAAGAATTCTGGATTGGGCTTCCTCTGGAAGTGAAGTCCCATTACTGCAAGTATTTAATGTGGAAATAGGAACATGTGATGGGGTAGAAGTAAATGAGCACTAAAATAAATAAATAAATAAAACTAAACAAAAACCTTCTGTGCAAATAAATAGACAAGATTCTAGAGTAAGAAATATTTGACAGTAGATTCTTAATCCTAGCCAATGGGTATGCTAAATATCCTTTTAGTTATTTATTTAGAGTATTCATTTCTCCCACAAGAGAGAAAGAAAGAGAGAGCCGCCCCCCTCAACATGGTCCTCACGCCATTATCCATGCCCAGTCCTGGTGAGTCCAGATCATGGATATGCACCCATGCTCACCTGGCATGCTCAGGGAGGTCCTGAGACATGAACTGAGGACCTTTCCCATGTGAGTTCAGTAAGTCACCACGTCACGACTGTACCAACTATACCTTTGTTTTTTAAAATGGAGAACGTAATAACACCTATCCCATGGAATTGTTTGATCAATTAAAGGAGGTAATCATGTAAAGAGATAACTAAAGTAACCAAGATATAGTACAAACTTGAATGCTTCTTGAGATTATTAACTATTATTACTATTATCTTGTCCAACTTTAAAAATATTATATCTCCCAAAATTACTTGAATTAACTTTTAATTCTTTTTTTTAATTGCCAGAGGGTATGTGCTTTTCTCAGAGATGCAGAGAAGGGGAGAGAGAAAGCACCACTCAATAGGTTGTGCTTACACCACAATCTATTTCTCCATCCAGTCAGGATTTGGGATACACACACAGATTCATGCAGTTTTCAGGACACTGAGGCCAACAACTGAACTGTGGTCAACTATGGGGTATTTAGCTCCCTTAAACACTAGGCTGTGGAGTTAGCCCAATTTCTAATTCTTAAAACAGCAAATTATGAATTTTCTACACTTTTTTCATATCTTATCCTGTAGTGCATAATCTGTGTGGAAATTAAAAAATATATTGAATCTTCATTGGAGACCAAATGGATATATGGTGCTTATGTTAGTATAAAGAAGTGACAAAAGACTCTCCCCACACACACATACACACACACACTCACACATACACACACAGGGGCAAAAGAAAACAGTCAAACCAGATATATGAGTAACAGTGGAATTATCTTTCAAATAGAAAAGATATGTACCTAAAGAATAATACAAACCAAAATCTATCCAGTCAGAATAAAATTTCCTGAGGTAATTATCTAGGTCAAAACCACATAATGAAGATGAAAAGTAATTCATGCTATGGTTACTCATATTTCAAAAAGAAATTAATAATTATATATATGGCTTTGAACATTTTTCAGTACTATGGAAATCTGGATACAAATGTTTTCATTAACCCTATAAAATTTTTTTCTTTGTTTTAGAGATGTTTTCCCATCTTTCGTGAGGTAAACATTTTGTTTATTTACATACAAGTGCAATCTTTTACCTTAAACTGTAGTTTACATTTAAAAACTTATTTCTTGGGGGACCAGCAGTTAGTGTAATGGCTATGTCACTCGACTCCCACATAGTCGACCGCGGTTCGTGTCCCAGACCCGGCAGCTTAAACTCACACCGGGCGCGTGTGCGTGCGTGCCCAAGATCCCAAGAGGAGAATGGAGAAGGGATTGCGGCATGGCCATCCCCCCTGGGGGGTGATTTCTCGTTTTCTTTCTCTCTGTCTCTGTCTGTCTTTCTGGCGAGTGGACGCACCTTATAG